AAAAATGCTGTCTTTGTTATTATATTTTATGTAGTTAAATTACATTAATATAAAATATGAAGATAGGTACTCTTCTTGATCTTCTTAAAATTAAGATTTAGGCAAAATGCGTACAGAGTATATAAGTTCTTCATCGATCATGCTGTGAACCTGATCAATATCTATGTATATAAAAGACCTGTCCTCAGCAAAAGCTTCAGTCTTGCTACTTAACGTGCTACATTCCCTTTTAAAAAATATCCTTTGGTTTCTCCTGTTATCCACGACGTCTACTTCAAAATCATATTTTTTATCTTCATTTGTAGAGCCAATCAGTTGCATTTCCCACTGAAACATACCATTTTCATACTTATAATGCAGCTTGAACAGTCGAAAATCGTATCTTAATATGAAGCAATCTTCATTTAAGTTTTTGTCGTCATCTCCGGGCTCAGTCTCATTTTCCTCATGATAAATCTTAAAAGGGACACTGACGGTGTCCATTTCCAGTAAGTTTTCATAATGGTTGGTCAATATGTGATCGTATAGTCCAGTGTAATATATCTCTTCACTGCAATTTTCATAATCGTGCAGAGGACATTTAAATTTACCATAAATACACTTGGAGTAGTGTTCACTTATATCTTTTGCCTTACACGTGAAATTACACCCTTCATTCTTACAAGGGTAAACCAAGTGGTCGATCAGCTTTCCCAGTGTTATGTTGACAGTGTCCTTGAAGTCTTTGGTGCATGTCGGACACACACTCTGCGTCATTTTGCAGTTGGAGCAGATGCTGTGGCCAGTTATGCATTGTTGAACAGGCGGCAGCAAGAATTCCAAGCAATAGCTGCATTCCAGTTCTTCCAGCAGCTCCCACTGAACTTCCTCGAAGTGGTTTTCATTGTCTTCTTGTGTGACTATTTGGATACGAACCAAGACTATGCTGGGATTTCCTAATGATTCCGTGATAAAGGTTCTATCTAGATTAATCCCTTCTCCCAGTTTTTCGCTGATCGCAAAGTTGTTTAGTCTGTTCCTCATATTCGTAAAAGTGAGTTTATATGAGTAGCTTTGGGAGTTTATGTTGCAACCTATATAGGAAACATTGCAAGAAAAGCTATTGCTTCTGGAGTTACTTTGATTAACAATATACAACTCATCTTCAACGTTCAACAGATAATTTTCGCTATAGTTTCCAACGAGATCAATTTCAAATTCGTTGTTTTTGATGGTGTATATCGCGTGATGACGTTGAAAATGATCCCACATGTCTTTAACTAATCCTCGCCATTTACATTTACTAGTGGTGTTTGATGGGCAGTCATAAGTTCTAAATTTACAAAATTTTTCGTGAATGGGCACCTCGTCTGGATATAAACTGTCCAGACAACCACTTACATCATAACAGCAGGGAAATTTTTGTATTGTAGTTACTTCCTCGTAGATGGTGTTCCTCTCGACGTTGCCTTCGACAGAGCATCGTCCACAAATGCAGCCTTGCTGGTCGTAACTTTGATATATCGGGAAATATGATAGATACTTTCGACACTTCAAGCATCTTAACTTTTGGAGTTGTTGGTTAGTAACGAAACTCATAGCAGCTTCTGAAAAAGAACGTATGGTTTATATATGGTATTATTTTAAATGGAACAACGTGTATATTATTCTACGTCAATTTTTAGGTGAACTTTCATAAAGGTTTCCTATCCCTAAAGTTAACCGTTTTTTATATATTTAATTAAAAAAATAATAATAAAAATGCACTGCCTAATTCAAAAAGATGTGTATTTCACAATAATAAAGTTAGAGCGATAAAATTTATGGGACATAACTTATTTACGCAAAAATATACAGGTTGTTCCATTAAAAAAAATAAGTTAAGATGGTTTAAAGTTAACTAAATTCGGCATTAAATTTCTACCACCCTGCATGAAATTAAGTCATTTTGAAATTATGGCATAGAAGCTTAGAGTTTTAGGTATGTCTCCTATTTTTATCGTTCTAACTTTATTATTGTGAAATATACATCTTTTTGAAAAAAAAAAAATCATAACAAACAGAAAAATGATTGAATTTTGTAATTTTTTTTTTCAATCTGCTCTAAAATAT